TCAGTGGAATCCATTTGAGTTTCTCTACATTTAGTTTGATGTTGACTATTGGGTTATTGTTTGTTGCCTTTATTATGTTCAGGTATGCTCCTTGTATCCTTATTCTCTCCAAGACCTTTATTTTGAAGGGGTGTTGAATTTTGTCAAAGGCTTTTTCAGCATCTAATGGGATGATCATGTGGTTATTTTTCTTTTAGTTTGTTTATATGGTGAATTACACTGATGGATTTTTGTATGTTGAATTATCCCTGCATCTCTGGAGTGAAATCTACTTGGTCATGGTTGATGATTTTTCTGATGTGTTCTTGGATTTGGTTTGCCAGTATTTTATTGAATATTTTTGCATCTATGTTCATGAGGGAAACTGGTCTATAATTCTCTTTCTTAGTTGTGTCTTTGTGTGGTTTGGGTATCAGGGTAACTGTAGCCTCATAAGAAGAGTTTGGCGCCAGGCGTTGGTGGCGCACGCCTTTAATCCCAGCACTCGGGAGGCAGAGGCAGGCAGATCTCTGTGAGTTCGAGGCCAGCTTGGTCTACAGAGCGAGTTCCAGGACAGCCTCCAAAACAATACAGAGAAACCCTGTCTCAAAAACAAAAAACAAAAAAAAAAGAAGAGTTTGGCAATGTTCCTTCTGTTTCTATCGTGTGGAATAATTTGAGGAGTACTGGTTTTAGTTTTTCTTTAAACATCTGGTAGAATTCTGTGCTGAAACCATCTGGCCCTGAGCTTTTTGTTGTTGTTGTCGTTGTGTTGTTGCTGTTGTTGTTGTGAGACTATTGATAACTGTTTCTATTTCCTTAGAGGTTATATGTGTATTTAAGTTGTTTCTCTGTTCTTGATTTAATTTTGGTATGTGGTACTTATCTGCAAAATCGTCCATCTCCTTAAAGTTTTCTCATCTTGTAGAGTACAAGTTTTTGAAGTATGACCTGATGACTCTCTGGATTTCCTCAGTGTCTGTTGTTATGTCCCCCTTTTTTTGCATATTCTGTCCTTTGCTTCGTTTGGATAAAGGTTTATATATTTTGTTGAATTTCTTGAAGAACCAACTCTTTGCCTCATTGATTCTTAGTATTGTTTTCTTTGTTTCTACTTTATTGATTTCAGTCCTCAATTTGAGTATGTCTTGCTGTCATTCCTTCTGGATGAGTTTGCTTGCTTTTGTTTTGGTGCTTTCAGTTCTGTTAATTCACTAGTGTGGGATCTGTGCAGCTTCTTTATGTAGGAATTTGGTGCTATAAACTTTCCTCTCAGCACTGCTTTCGTTGTGTCCCATAAATTTGGGTATGTTGTATGGTCATTTCCATTAAGTTTTAGGAAGTCTTTTATTTCTATCTTTAGTTCTACCTTGACCCAGTTTTGATTCAGTTAGTCATTGTTCAATTTCCATGTGTTTGTGGGCTTTCTGAAATTAATGTTGCCGTTGAATTCTAACTTTAAGCTGGGGTGATCTGATAAAATACATGGGATTATTCCAATTTTTTGTATCTATTGAGATTTGCTTTGTTACCGAGTATGTAGTCTATTTTTGAGAAGGTTCCATGAGGTGCTGAAAAGAAAGTATACTCTTTACTGTTTGGGTGGAATGTACTCCAGATGTCTCTTAAGTCCATTTGAGTTATTGCCTTTATTAGTTCCCTTATTTCTCTGTTAAGCCTCTGTCTGGCAGACCACTCCAGTGGTGAGAGTGGGATGTTGAAGTCTCCCGCTTTTATTGTGTGGGGCTTGATTTGTGATTTAAGCTTTAGTAATGTTTCTTTTACAAATGCAGAAGCCCTTGTATTTGTGGCATAGATGTTCCGAATTGAGATTTCCTCTTGATGGATTTTTCTGTGATGAATATAAAATGCCCTTCTTTATCTTTTTTGATTTATTTTAGTTTGAAGTCTATATTGTTAGATATTAGGATGGCTACACCAGCTTGTTTCTTGAGTCCATTTGATTGGAATTTTTTTCCCTAACCTTTCACTCTGAGGTAATATCTGTCTTTGAAGTTGAGTTGTGTTTCTTGTATGCAGCCAAAGGATGGAGTCTGGTTTTGTATCCAGTCTATTAGCCTGTGTCTTTTTAAAGGTGAGTTAAGACCACTTATATTAACTGATATTAATGACCAATGATTGCTTATTCCTATTATTTTTGTTTTCACTGTTGGTGATGGCATTGTGTGTTCAGTTCACTCCTTTGGGATTTACTGCTGTAGGCTCATCTATTTCCTGTGTTCTTGTGGATGTAGCTGACTTCCTTGGGTTGGAGTTTTCGTTCTAGTCCTTTCTGTAGGTCTGAGTTTGTGGGTGGGTATTGTTTAAATCTGATTTTATCATGGAATATCTTGTTTTCTCCATCTATAGTGATTGAAGGCTTTGCTAGGTATAGCAGTCTGGGCTGGCATCCATGGTCTCTTAGTGTCTGCATAACATTTGTGCAGTGCCTTCTGGCTTTCAGAGTTTCTATTGAGAAAACATGTGTAATTCTGATAGGTTTGTTTTTATATGTTACCTCGTCTTTTTCCTTTACAGCTCCTAATATTCTTTCTTTATTCTTTATGTTTATTGTTTTTATTATTATGTGGTGAGGGACTTTTGGGGGGACTTTTTGGTTCAATGTATTTGATGTTCTGTAAGCTTCTTGTACTTTTATAGGCTTGTCCTTTAGGTTGGGAAAGATTTTTTCTATGATTTTGTTGAATATATTTTCTGTGCCTTTGAGTTGGACTTCTTCTTCTATCCCTATTATTCATAGGTTTAGTCTTTTCATGGTGTCCCAGATTTCATGCATGTCTTGTGTTAAGGATTTGTTGAACTTAAGATTTTCTTTGACCAATGAACCTATTTCCTCCATCATGTCTTCAGTGCCTGAAATTCTCTCTTCCGTCTCTTGTATTCTGTTGCTTATGCTTGCATTTGTGGTTCCTGATAATTTACCCAGATTTTCCATTTCCAGAATTCCCTCAGTTTGTGTTCTCTTTATTGCCTTTATTTCCTTCACTTGTTTGATTGCTTTTTCTTGGTGTTCTTTAAGGGATTTGTTGATATCTTCCAATTTTTTTGTTTGTCTTTTCCTCCATTGCTTTAAGAAAATTTTTTCATTTCGTCTTTAAGGGCCTCAATCATTCTCATAAAGTTATTTTTAGGTCATTTTCTTCTGCTTCATCTATGTTGGGATGTTCAGGTCTTGCTGTTATAGAACCACTAGTTTCTATTGGTGCCATATTGTTCTTTATACTGTTGAGTGTGATCTTAACTTATTGTCTACACATCTCTTCCTCCATTCGGTATAGGTGGAGCTTGTGCTTCAGGGGTTCCCTCTTCCCCCAACTGGTATGTTGTGGACTGTGGCTCCATTGATCTCTCTTTCAGGTGCAAGCAGAGCAGAGCCCTCAATAATAACTCTTCCTTGTGGAAGTGAGCCCAAGGCACAGGTAGTTGCTCCTGGAGGTGCAGGTGAGGCTACAGTTCTGGTGGACATTCCTCCTGTTGGAGGCGGGGCCACGGTTCCAGTGATTGCTCCTCTAGGTGTAGGTGGGGCTGATGTTCCAGTGGTCACTATAGCAGCAGGGTATCTTGAATGGAGAGATGGCAGTGGATGCTGGCTGGGACATGGGTGCTCTTTCCCAGAGGAACATCTTGCAATAGCTTCTGGAAGCCGCTGCTGGAAGCTGCTGCTTTCATGTCTCCCGGCAGTTGCTCCCCACTCCCAGGTTGGTGGCTGAGGCCGCCCTCTAATGCTGCTCCTGGCCCTGTGGTTCAGACCTCCCTCTGACACTGCTCCTGGACTAATGCCTAGGCAAAATATACATCTTTTAAAAGACAAATTCTACATGTTCTCTTTCATAATATACAGATGCTAGCTTCTAAATGGTAAACACATGTGATTAAGTTGGAGTAAGTGTGAGTGGAAGACAGGAAACTAGAAAGAGGCTCATCCGTGAGATGTGGGGGTTGTGTCATTATTTCCTCAGTGCTAGATTTGTGTGACATTTACATTGTACTAGATACTGTAATAAAATTAAACGACTATTATGAATCCTTCAAGAGATTAATACATTGATTAAATCAGAGGCGGTATCATCTGTTTATCTCTGGAAATAGAAACAATTAGTAATCTCCTGATCATTTCTGGATCTGATCAAGTTGACAATCAAAATCAACCATAATGTGCACCCTAGGTCCTTTTCATGAATAGTTTTATTTCCAACAGAGACTCACTAAGTTTACCCAGACTACTGCCAAACTCCTGTCTCAGCCTTCTCAGTAGGATTTCTGATGTACATGGGCCACTATACACAGTTCAACAGATTTTGTATTTTTTGTTAATTTGTTGTGTTGGTTGAATATCTCAACTGTTTCAACTTTTGGGGTTTTTATATTTGATCCTACTATACAGCCAATCATAGCTTGGACTCCCTATGTGGCCTCAGCTTGCCCAGAACTTCGGATCCTCCTACCTCAGCCTCCAGTGTGGGATTATATGATTACACATCACATATGACCTCAATAAATTATTTTTTATTTTGTGTGTACACATGTGTGTGGATCTGGGTGTGCCATGGTACTTGTGTGGCGGTCAAAAGGTAACTTGTATGAGTTGGTTCTTTCCTTACACCTTGTGGGTTGAGAGATCAAACTCAAGTTATCAGGCTTAGTTGCAGGCCCCTTTACCAGAGCCCTCTCATCAGCCAGATGCTCAATAAATTCTTAACTTAGTTGATAAATAATCCCTGTTCCTTGTAAAGAAATTGAAAAATGCAAGGACAAGTAAGAAAGAATAGTATATCCATCGAAAGAAGTCAGTACTGACTCTTCTTACCACAGCCTCAGTATAAATGGATTTTCAGAGCTGTGGATGGAGTTTTGTATGCATAACACACACAAGGTATTGGGTTCGATCTCTATCGCACGCATGTGCACATACACACACATACATTTAATATATATATACATATATATGTGTGTGTATATATATATGCATGCATTTGTTTTAAAGTCACTGGCATTGACCTTAAAACAAATGCTTCACAAAAACAAGAATAATTTTCTTCATATTTGTAATGCATTCAAATATGTTCTAGTCTCTTCTATAAGCTGTTCATTCTGATTCATTAAACAGAACGTTCTGGCTGTGGTGGTGGTACATGCCTTTAATGTCAACACTTGAAAGATATCCCAAGTTTGATACACTGTCTGTGCTACATAGTAAGTTCCAAGTCAGAATGGGATGCATTGTGAGAACCCACCTCAAAAGTAAAACAAGACCCGGCCCTCCTGGCTCTGAACCTGCAGGATTGTGACCCTCGCAGCTCTACTTCCCTTCCTCCTCTGCCTCCTTCGCCTCCTCCACTGCCTCTTCTCCCATGCCTCCGAGCAGCCCGCGGTCACTGGGTTTGCAGTTCCCAGGCTAAAAGCACTGTGGCTCCAGCGTCTCCGGTGTTCCTGCTCCTACAAGATGATGCTCAAGTCCAGCGAAGGCAAGGGTGAGAACAGCATGTGCACCGCGCTCTCAGACCTCTACCTGGAACATATGCTACAGAAGAGCAACCGACCTGAGATTACATTGAACCAGTTGAATGTTGCCACTGAAGACATGTATACCAATGGGTCTACTGCTCCAGGTAGCCCTGCCCATACTAAAGGGCAAGAGGCAAGGAAAATGCGTCTCATACAGTTTGAGAAGATCACAGAGGAGCCCATGGGAATTACTTTGAAGCTGAATGAAAAACAGTCACGTACTGTGGCCGGAATTCTCCATGGTGGCATGATTCACAGACAAGGCTCCCTTCACGTGGGGGATGAGATTCTAGAAATCAATGGCACTTATGTAACCAATCACTCAGTAGACCAGCTTCAGAAAGCAATGAAGGAAACCAAAGGAATGATCTCATTAAAAGTAATTACTAATCAGCAGAGTCGTCTTCCTGCACTACAGATGTTCATGAGAGCACAGTTTGACTATGATCCCAAAAAGGATAATCTTATCCCTTGCAAAGAGGCAGGACTGAAGTGTGTTACTGGAGACATTATCCAGATCATCAACAAAGACGGCAGCAATTGGTGGCAGGGGCGGGTGGAAGGCTCCTGCAGGGAGTCTACAGGATTGATCCCTTCTCCTGAGCTGCAGGAATGGAGAGTGGCAAGTGTGGCTCAGTCTGCTCCAAGTGAAGCTCCAAGCTGTAGTCCCTTTGGGAAGAAGAAGAAGAAGTATAAAGACAAGTATCTGGCTAAGCACAGTTCAATTTTTGACCAGTTGGATGTTGTTTCTTATGAGGAAGTTGTTCGGCTCCCTGCATTCAAGAGGAAGACCCTGGTGCTGATCGGAGCCAGTGGGGTAGGTCACAGCCACATTAAGAATGTTCTGCTCAGACAGAATCCAGAGAAGTTTGTGAACCCTGTCGCATATACAACACGACCGCCAAGGAAGAGTGAAGGAGATGGAAAGGAGTATTACTTCATCTCAAAAGAGGAAATGGCAAGGAACATCTCTGCCAATGAATTCTTGGAGTTTGGCAGCTCTCAGGGCAACATGTTTGGCACCAAATTTGAAACAGTGCACCAGATTCATAAGCAGGACAAGATTGCCATCCTTGACATTGAGCCCCAGACCTTGAAGATTGTTCCAACAGCTGAGCTTTCACCTTTCATTGTGTTCATTGAACCTACTGACCAGGGCACTCAGACTGAAGCCCTGCAGCAACTGCAGAAGGACTCTGAGGCCATCCGTAGTCAGTATGCTCACTGTTTTGACCTCTCTTTGGTGAGGTGTTGACGAAACTCTTAAGAAACTACAAGAAGCCTTTGACCAGGCTTGCAGTTCGCCATAGTGGGTGCCTGTCTCCTGGGTTTACTAAGCTCACAGAATTTGAGAACCTGTTCCAGCCCCTCCCCAGCATTTGGAATGCCATCCCCCTTGCTTAAACCAAACAGGGCTGCTTCAGCTTCTAGCTATCTGCAACTGTCTTAAGGATGTCAGTAGGATTCAAGTCTTTTCACTCGGGCTCCTAAAGGGTGTAAGTTTAATTTTCCTACTATCTAGATTTCAAAATGACCTCTGAAAATTAGCAGTGCTATCCAAATGCAAATGCTGCACAGAAAAATCAATTATCCTTGTCCCTCTGATGTTTGAGCTCCTTTACTTTCAACTATACTGACTATCTTGTCTCTTTACTCTGGAATAAGTGTACTATGAAACTTTTTAAAATCAAATAGCTGTGCAATAGTACAACTGCTGTGTTTAAAAACAAGTAAAACAAACCAAATGAAAGAGAGTTCTGTGCAGGACCCACAGTTCTATTGAGCTGTTCACGTGTGCAACCTGCAGAATGAGATCTCTTCTCCAAGGCCCCCATGTGAGTAGTCTGTCCTTCTTCCTTTTATTCTTTGAAACAAGGTTTTTCCTGCTCACCGCTTCATCTAGACTGGCCGGCCAGAAGCCAGTACTTGCCTCCTGCCCTACCATCAGTTCAAAGCTTCCAAGACACCAGCTCCTATGCCCAGCTTTGATGCAGTTGATGGATCTCTGTACTCAGGTCTCTGAGCCTGCAACCAATTACTTTATTTACTGAGTCATCTCTCAAGCCTCTACCCAGTAAAATATTTTTTAATGATTATAAAGTCGAAACACTACTGAAAGTATAATAAATGGAAAAGGGAGACACAAAGGACAAGAAAAAGAAAAAAATGAAATGACTGTGTCTTCAAACACTGGAGTCAGACAGGGACATGCAGATGAGGGGGCCAGTTGACTATGTAGACTCTTGTCTTTGCTATGATTTACTCTGTTGCTGAGCCGGTCCAGGGCAAATGGCAGATGCCCACAGAACTGCCCTCACTTTAATGTTTTCTCTTCTTGACATACCAGAGACCTCTGCTGGGCACACTCAGCTTTGCAGTCCGTGGATTGGGGTGGCTCAGGGAGTACCCAAGTGTGTCAAGAGCTGGGGAAACAAGCACAGTACAAAGCTTTCTGCAAGCAAACCTGTCCCCATACTTGCAAATAGGACCGGGTATTAATGAACCTGCTGGAGTTGTGGCCCGGAAGTAGCCCGCTATAACCTCAGAGCGCTCAGTCTTTACAGCGGTGAGTCTGACTGCAGATTCGTGGCTCTAGCGCCTGGCCAACCATTGACTTCATGCTGAAAGCTGTCCAACTCCGAAATTATTCTCAGTGGATGAGATTGGTTCTGAGTCCCTGAGATCAGGGCTCTTCCCAGTGTACACTTCGGTGCCTGAGCTAAGCCTCCAGGCATTGGCTTGGGCAGTTCCTGCTCCCCACAACCGTCTCTCATGACTCTTTCATCCCGGGCCTGTGGCGACTTGACAGATGGGTTTTAGATATTATTAGGTTCCCGGTCAAGAAGGTACCCTGAAAAGTCTCCATGTCATAGGGAGTGACAGAATGGGATTCCTCTCCATTGCTGCTCTGTCCAAAAGAATCTCCCAAAACTCAGCACTGGACTTGAGCCTTTCAAGAGCTGTGAGCTCATCCTATGGGTTAGCGCAGCTAGTGGCTTCTGACGAGGCACGCCTGTGGGATGAGACTTGATTTCCCCATCCCACCAGGGCGAGGCATGGCAAGGGCTGAGAGCAGCTGCTGTCTGCTGCTTTCGCTTCTCCACACTTCCCGTCTGTCCCGTCACATCCTCTGTGAATTTCCACCTCTCTTCTCAGGATGGCGTCTCTTCTTTTTTATCCTTATTCTCTTTTACCGCATCATCCTGGGGGCAGCCTCTAATCGGCCCTCCCACTGAGAAGGCCTATTATGAACAATTTGTAGTGAGCTTGTTTTTGTTTGATTGGGACAGGGTTATTGGTGTAGCTCTGGTTGTCCTAGAACTCACCCTGTAAACCAAGCTGGCCTACAACTCCGAGATCCTCCTGCCTCATAAATGCTGGGATTAAATTTGTGCCACCAGCCAGGCTCTGGTAGCATATGCCTTTGATCTCAGCACTCTGGAGGCAGAAGCAGTTGGATCTCTGTGAGTTCAAGGTCAGCCTGGTCTACGGAGTGAGTTCCAGGATAGCCAGGACTTTCTCAGAGAAGCCCTGTGTCGAAAAAACAAAGCAACAACAACAACAAAAAAAAGGTATGCGTTATCACCACCGAGTCTGTATTGATTTTTGTAAGTATGGAAAATTATCGATTTATTTCTTTATCCCTTGTCTCCGTTTCCAACCTTTTAAAATGACTTCTTTATCCTTTATCCTCCTTTCTAAGCCTCCTGGTCTTTTCCTCCCCCACCTAATTAAACTGTGTCTGTCTCCATGTCAGATAGATACATAGATGGATAGATGATGGGTGGGTGGATGGATAGATAGATTAGATGGATAATTTCCCTCCCACTATCCTCTCTTATTCCTCCCTCCCTTTAGACCCCTTCCTACATCCACATATTCCTTTTTTATTTTCCTATCTTTTATTTGTGTACATACATACATTTGTAAAGAGTCACATGTTGCCTGGTGGGCCTCCAACTCTATATAGCTAAAGATGGGTTAGAACTCCTGATCCTCCTGCCTCTACTTCCCAAGTACTGGGATGTCCTATCACACCTAGTTTGCATTAAAAAATAAACTTAGATTCCAATGGGGAAAAAAAGGACATGCACTTGGAAGAGAGCAAGGAGGGGTATATGGGAGAGTTTGGGGGAAGGGAATGAAGGGAAGAAATGATGTAATTATATTATAATCTCAAAAATAAAAGAGAAATAGAAAATGAAAAAATTTTCATGAAAAATATCTAGATCTCAGCCAGTCATGGTGGCACACTCCTTTAGTCCCAGCACTTAGGAGTCAGGCGCAGGGAGATCTCTGAGTCTGAAATTTGGTCTATTTAGTGAGTTCTAAGTTAACCAGGGTTACATATTGAGATAATCTAAATTCCGTATATGGAACAAACATATGAGATCTGTCTGAGTCTGGCTTATTTCATTAAACGTGATAATGATATTTAGTTCTAACTACTTTACTACAAGTGACATAATTTCACCCTTTACAATTGAAGAGATAATGTTTCTGCTTAAACACTTCTCTGTCATAAACCCTCTGAGGCCTAGTATGCTTGAGACTTAACTGTCCACCCTATTTAAAAGTTCTTTTCTTTTAGTACTGTTGAGTTGTTACACCGTTGTATCCTTGTCAACAAAGTTGTGCTTGTTTTATAGGCAGGATCTTACTTTATAGCCCATTCTGACTTAAATCCATAATCCCCCTGTCTCAGCTTCCCCAGTGATAGCTAGTGTTAATTATGTACCCCTGTTACCTGGCTTAAAGAGAACTATTGTTTTAGCTCTTCCTTTTTGTGAGTCTGTGAATGGAGGCCAGGGTCTTGTAGTACAGTTAAACATTATATTCTAAGCCCCACAAGTATGGTGTCTGAGAAATCCAGTGTTAATTCTTTTGTTCTTTCTTTATAGGTAGCTTGTTGTTTCCCCCAGAAATTTGTTTTGCTTTGCCTTACTTTGCTTTTGATACTATGGGTGGAAGCCAGGCCTTCTCACATGCTGATCAGAAAGCCTACCATTGAACTACTTTCCTTCATTTTTATGCGCTTAAATGTCATTGGGTCTAGAAGTGTATTCTGTTCAGTGTGCTATAATCTCTTACGGTCTGAATGTTTTTTCTGTCTGAGAATTTTTCATTCATTAATTTATTCATTTAATTATTTACTCTCCTCTAATGAAGGTATTGTTTGATGAATTTAAACTTCCTGTTTCTCTCTATTCATTAAATTAGCCTTCATTGATTTTTTTTTTCCGAGACAGGGTTTCTCTGTGTCGTCCTGGCTGTCCTGGAACTCATTTTGTAGACTAGGCTGGCCTCGAACTCACAGTGATCCACCTGCCTCTGCCTCCCCAGTTCTGGAATTAAAGGTGTGCGACACTACCACCCAGCCCCTGATGACTATTAAAATAATACTTTAGGCTGACCTGCAGCTCAATAATTGTTTTGTATATGTATTATAGTGGTGAAAGTAGCCTAGACTTGCCTCAAACTCACAATCCTCCCTCAGTCTCCCAAATCCTAGGATCGTAAATTCATGCTACCATACCCAACTCAGTAGCTGCTTTTCAACCGCATTCATTTTAACATCCAAACTATTCTATTGATTTCTTTGCTTTAGTAAATTTTTCATACCCAATAACTGCATACCCAGTTCTTCTATGCAGCTCACCATTTATGAGAACATAGGTAAAGGTTGGAGGTCGGTACTGTTGGTATCCTGTCATTATGCTGACCCCGCCCACTGACGACGAGCAGGGTATGCACACCAGCATTCAGGCAGATGCTTAGATGGCTCAAAGGGCCCTGTGTCTGTGGCTATGTCACTAGTTGAGTGGCTGCGTAAGGACTGTGTATGCATGTGAAAGCTTTCCTTTTCAGGAGAGCAGCTCCTGCCTGTGCTCTCCTTTTTAGGCGAGCACCTCCTGCCTGTTCACCCTTTCTTCTTCCCCCTTCCCCTCTGTCCGCCACCCCTTCCCCTCTGTCCCTCACCCCTTCCCCCCTTCCGTCTCTGTTCCCCCGGTTAGCCAACACCTATCCCTCCAATATTCCACGTGGGTTTGTTGAGGCTTGTGATTCGTGTTTCATCGCCCGCAGCCGAAATTGAAGAAAAACAACAGGTACTTTTTAGGGTAGTGAGTTTCTGAGACTGAACTCAGCCAATCCTCTCCCTTCATTTGGTGTATTGTGACTCGCCCTGGAAGCTTCCAGGACTTCTCCATTAGCCACCCATCCTCAGTGTATAAGGATCCAGGCATGAATGAGATTTGTTGTTATTGTGCACGAGAGGGTGGAGAGATGGATTCACAAGGATTGCTCACTTGTGAGTCAGCCTTGATTTCCACAAGATTGTCACACTCTACTTAGGCCTTAACACCTCCAACTCAGCCGGGCAGTGGTGGCACACGCCTTTAATCCCAGCACTCGGGAGGCAGAGGCAGGCAGATCTCTGTGAGTTCGAGGCTGGGCTGGACCGATAGCCTCCAAAACAATACAGAGAAACTCTGTCTCGTAAAAACCAAAAAAAAAAAAAAAGAAAGAAAGAAAATACCTCGGGGGGGGGCTAGATAGATGCCTCAAAAGTTAAGAGCACTGGCTGCTCTTCCAGAGGTTCTGAGTTCAATTCCCAGCAACCACATGGTGGCTCACGACCACCTGTAATGAGATCTGGTGCCCTCTTCTGGAGTGCAGGCATACAGGAAGGCAGAACATTGTATATAATAAATAATCTTTAAAATAAAGAAAATACCTCAATTGATTCTCTACCCATGGCCTCTGAATGTTTCACTCTCACAACTCCCCCCCCCAGGATACATATAAATACAACCCAACGCAGATGACAATATTATGTTGCAATGTAAAATGGTTGGATACCCCTGCAGTCCATCTCACGTCCCAAAGTGGGTCATACCATCAAGAATTGTGTTGCCACAGGACTGGCAATACAGGCCAAAGTGCTTGGCTTGCACATGCAAGCTCCTAGGTTCAATCCCTAGTACTGCCACAAACAGAAGATTTGTTTCTTGCAGCTAGTTGAAAATCGAACTACCTCCATCCATCTTCTGTGCCATCTATGGTGATGGGAAGGAAGCCAACAACAATTGCTGGTCCCCATCTCTATGTGGAACCACAAATGCTTTCACATCCAATAGCCCAGGCTAGTCTCAAACTCACTAGGAAGCTTGTTGAAGCTAGCCTAGAATTTGTGGTCCTCCTGCGTCAGCCTCCCTAGTGCTGGGATTACAGAAGTATGCTACTGTCCCAGCTCCTATGCCTTTACATTTCAATAGTCAGTTTTGTTGTTGCAGTCATAATAGCTAAAATACATAGTAACACTTATTGGGTGATACCTGCTGTTCTTAGTGCTTTAATGTATTAATTCATTTAATCAAATGAGTTAATTGCTGTATTCCCAATTTCCTTGAATAGATTCAGACATGGAAGGGTGTGACTTATATGAGGTCATACAGTTAACAAGTTGAAAAGTCCAGTTCTGAACTCCTGTAATATAGCTCCAGAGTTTGTGCATGAAACTGTCAGAGCTTTTTTCCATGCTCTCTAACCCCCTAGAGTCTTGGTATATTTCCAAGGCTGGCCTCAAACTCCTGAGCTAAAACAATCCTCCTGCACCAGCCTTCAAAGTAGCTGGGACTACTGGTGCAAGCCTCTATATCCCAAAATCTTCCTCCTTCTCCTCCTTTTCCTCATCATCCTCATCCTCATCATCCTCTTCCTCGTCCACTTCCTCTCTCTCTCTCTCTCTCTCTCTCTCTCTCTCTCTCTCTCTCTCAGACAGATAGACAGACAGACAGACAGACAGACAGGAACAGGGACAGAGACACACACAGAAAGAAGCATGCTCATATTTGGTGGGTTTCTTTTTGCAGTTTGAAGATTCGTGTCTCTCTTCCATCATTTTTCTATTTTATGTGTAGGAGTGCTTTGCTCGCATGTATGTACGTGCACCACATGCATGTCTGATGTCTGGTAAAATCAGAAGAGGGTGTTGGATGCCCTGAAAATGGGGTTACAAATGATTGTGAGCCACTATGTGGGCGCTGGGAATCATACACAGTCTTCTTCAACAAGTGCTCTTAACCATTCAGCCAACTCTCCAACCCCCAAAGATTCATGCCAAGTTCAAAGATTTCTAGATGATTATTTCTTCAAGTAGTGCCTTATCTCTTTGTTTTTATACTTTATGTCTGAAAATCCCATTAGATGAATGTTGAGATTTCTGGGATCTCTCGTCCATTCCCTTTGGGTTCCTTTCCCTTCGTTCTTTCTTTCTTGGTCTTTTTGTGCTATGCTGAGATACTACTGAAATTTTTTTGTGTATGGGTGTTTTGCCTGCATTTATGTCTATGCACAGAGAGGCCAGAAGAGGGCATCAGATCCCCTGGACCTGGAGTTACAGTTTTGGGCTGCCCTGCGGGTCCTAGGACTTGAACCCAGCCCCTCAGCAAGAGCAGCCAGTAATCTTAACCATTGAGCCATATGTCTCTCCAGGCCCTGACTGTATTTTTAATATTCAATTGGCTAGGTGTGTTATACCAGTATGATACCTACTTACTAATACACAATAACTTTGTTGTTATATACTAGGAAGTTACTTTCTTTTTGAAAAAGTTTGATGTAGCCCAGGCTGGCTTCAAACTCACTATGTAGCTGAGAAATACCTGATCCCCCAGCCTCCATGTCTCACTGTTTTTATGGGGTATTGAAGATCAAACCCAGACCTATTCATGCTGGGAAAACACCCTTACCAACTCAACTATATCCTCAGAACAGATACTATTCATCTGTCGCATGTTTCTTCCCTTCCCACCAAATCTGCCTTTTAAACAGTAGTTTATCATGTCTTTTGGCTTAAATGGCACTTTAATTTTCAGATCTTAAAATATATGTTTGTAGCCTTTATGTCAGGTCAAGAAGTACTTACACTAAATTATTACATTTTGCTAAATTTCTGGCTATGGTTTGTTTTGTTTTATGAGATTTGTTCTCACTAAGTAGCCCAGGATAGACAAATAGACTCACAATTGTCCTGCTTCTGCCTCCCCAAGACTGAGATTACAAACATGCACAATCATATTGAGCCTCCATCTACTTTTTAATGTACCTTTGGCAATTGAACCTCTAATTTTTCTTAAATTTATCATTTTTATAGTGTCAGGTAAGAATTTCATTTTGTAGGTGAACAGGCACTTGTCAAACAATCATTTATCATGAAATCTATCCTCTGTCCACTATTTGGGAATGCAAGCTGAAGTTTCATATGTAGGTTAGTGTTTCTTAACTTTCTTTTTTGTTTCTTTTGGTTTTTCAAGACAGGGTTTCTGGGGGAACAGGAAGGTTGAGTGGGGGGTAGAATAGGGGAAGAGGGAATCATAGGATAGAAGACAGATCAGGCACCAGTGTGACCTCTAGTGATCTAAAGGGATGACACCAATTGGCAAGCTAAGCAATAGTGGAGAGACCACCTCGAATGCCCATTCCTGATAATGAACTTGATGTCTATAACCATCCTGGAGCCTTTATCCAGTGACTGATGGAAACAGAGGCAAACACCCACAGTTAAACACTGAACTGAACCCAAGGAAACCAGTGACAGAGAGAGAGGAGCGGTGAGCAAATTGGCAAAAAATGGGCTGGCAAAACCCGCAGAGACAGCTGATCTGAACAGGGAAGAGCTCTTGGACCCCAGACCGACAGCTGGGAGGCCAGCATGGGACTGATCCAGACCCCCTGAATGTGAGTGTCAGCGAGAAGGCCTGGGCAACCTATGGGGCCCTGAGCTGTGGATCAGTGTCTATCCCTGGAATACAAACAGTCATCGTGTGCCTATAGCACAAAGAGGGATGCTCTCTCAGCCTGGACTCTTAGGGGAGTGCCTGGACCCTGCCCTGAGTGAAATGACAGACTCTAGATATCCCCTATGTGGAAGGAAATGGCGATAGGGTGGGAGGCTAGGGGGATGGTGGGGACTGCGGGAGGAGGGGAGGGAGAGGGAACTGGGATTGACATGTAAAACAATCTATTTAAAATAATAATAATAAAAAATTTTTTGAAAAGACAGGGTTTCTCTGTGGCTTTGGAGGCTGTCCTGGAACTAACTCTTGTAAACCAGCCTGGCCTCGAACTCGCAGAGATCCTCCTGCCTCTGCCTCCCAAGTGCTGGGATTTTAAAGGCATGCACCACCAACAATTAGTCAATTAGTGTGTTTCTTAACTTTCTATTTTGTTTCACTAACTGATCTGTTTATACGTGCATTCTGTTTCTATTGTACCTATAATAAATTATCACATATTCAGTGGCCTAAAGAATCAAATATCCTACACTTCTGTAGTACAGAAATCCAGCACAAGTCTCACTGGACTGAAAGCAAGGTGTAGGGCTATGTTCCAAAGAGAACACTTCCTGCCTCCCTTCTTTGGCTCATGGCTCTCATCTAGCATCCTCAAAGTCAACAACGGAACATTTCTTTGGCTTTGTTTCTGTCATCTTTCTCAGACTATTGTCTACATCCCACTTATAAAGACCACTGTGGTGGCTTTGAAATCATCAAGATAAGGCAACATGACCACTGTGGTGACTTTGGAATCATCAGGATAAGGCAACATGACCACTGTGGTGACTTTGGAATCATCAGGATAAGGCAACATGATCTCACTATTTTAAGGTCTTGCTACCTAATTCCACATGCAGCTTCAATTTCTCTTCAACGTGCTTGTGGGTTCTATGAATTAGGATATGGGCATCTTTGAGGGACGCTTATTCTATTTAACAAAGCACTGGAGCCCTTAGACTATGATTTTAAGCTACATTTCAGTATTTGTTAGGACAAATACGCCATATTCAGAAAGGGGCAGGTCTCCCGTGGCTTATCAAGCCATCGCATATCAAGTTGAGGTAGGACAAAGTTCCTCTTCTTGGGCAACCCAGTATGGAGAATTGGTTCCCATGTGATCAGGATGTGAAATAAATGAATAAATTTAATTAATAAAATATTAAAATATTCATATTACCCTTATTTTCAAAACCTCCTGGACTATAAACGAGGGGCATAGCTCAATTGGCAGTGCGCTTGCCCACTATGCCCAAGCTCTGAGTCTCATGTCCAGCACTGAATAAGGAACTTCTTGGCTATGCTTTATTGTGTGTGCATGATACTAGGGACTGAATCACAGCCTCAACAGTACTAGCTGGATGAACACTCTCCCAGTGAGCAGTAGCTCCACACCTTTCTATTTCTGAAAAGATGAAGCTTTCTATTTCTGAAAAGATGAAGCTTTCTATTTCTGAAACGGATTCTCATTAAGTCGCCTCATTGGCTTTAAACTTGCTCTGTGACCCAGGTAGGCCTGGAGCTTGTGACCTACCCACCTCAGCCTCCCACGTACTTGGAATTACAAGTCTATGCCTCCAGGTCTGAAAATTCCTTGCATAAATATGCAAATGTAACAGCAATGCCATTCTCATCTATTAGCTGGCCGATAATAAGTTTTGTAACTCAGGGTTACTGACAAAGCTGTGGTGAGATCATCACGTACATATTCAAGCTAGCTCCTCACTCACTGCTCTTGCTCAGACCTGTCACGTTCGTGCATGCCTCAGGGGCTTTGCACTTGCTATTGCCTCTGCTTGGGAGATTCTTTGTCAAAACAACCATAAGGCTTAATCTTTCTATCCTTGTCTCCTCTTCAGTGAGGTCTCCCAGACCGGCTCCTCGTACAGCAACTCCTATGCTTCAGTGTTCACACTGATCCTTTATGGGGCTGAGAGATGACAGCAGTTAAGAGTACTTGCTGGTCTTGCAGAGAACCTGAATTTGGTTCCCAGCATCCACATGGCAGCTCACACACAATCTGTAACTCCATTCCAATGGCCTCTTCCGGCTCTATAGCCACCAACCATGAATATGGTGCGCATAGATACATGTAGGCACTCATACACACAAAAAATAAAGATAAATAAATCTCTTTTTAAGTCTAGGCATGGTGCAGTATGCTTTTCCCCAACACTTGGGAGGCAGAGACAGAGACAAGTGGATCTCTGAGTTCCAGGCCATCCTAATCTACACAGTAAGTTCCAGGTCAGCAAATATTACACAATGCGACCCTGTCTCAAAAAGTTGTTTTCCTTCCCTTCTTTTCCACTGAGTCAGCATTCAGCTATTTTTTATTCTGGAAAAGGCCGGTGAGTAAATAACGTAGGCATTGAAGGCCATATGGTCTCCTAAGCAACTCCTTAGTTCTGCACGAACAACCATGAGCAGTCCACAAACACACGCACTAACCACATTACAGCAAAAGCATACAGTCACTGAAATGTGATGTTCTTGCAATTTCCAAGTATCACAAACAGCATTCAATCTTTAACATTTACTTATCCATTTGAGATGTGTGCACGTGCATGCATGTATGTGCATGTATCTGCATATGCACAAGTGCCATTGCACTCATGTGGAGATCAGAGGATATCTTGTGGAAGTCAGTACACTCCTTCCAAATCAAACTGACTTTGTCGGGCTGAACAATCTTGCCAGACCAGAAAATGTTATTCTTCTTTTGATTTTTTCAATACTTTAAAAATTTGCAAAATGGTTTTAGTTCAAGGGCTACCTGGGAGTAGGAAACAGACCAAATTTAGGCCATTTTTCTCTCTTGTACTGAAGCACTGTGATCTGTTTGATTCGTGGCTCTATGTCTGACACTTAGAATATTCAGTGCTATACTCCCAAGCTCACAATCACTGTTGAGTAATTAAATGCACTGGTGATTAGGTCGAGCGTGAGTCACTGGAGGCATGGAGAAAAGAGTGAAGAGATGAGACAGAGCACAGTTCTACTCAGCCTTGGTTTACCCCTGTCTTCACTTGGGCAATTTTCTTCCAATAAGTCTTTGAGAAATATCAGAAGTCTCAGACCAGTGTTGCCATTCAGCATCTTTATTCTTCCCTTTTAGCCTCAGGATAACCCTGACAGACAGCTTCATCCAGGAAGTGAGGACTATGTTGGGCAAGAACCCTTCTAAGGACATGGCCTCCCCTCCTCCACTCATGGAGTTGGCAGTAGGAGCAAGGCAACCCTAGGGAGAAGGAAAGTAAACTACTCTACAGCCTCTATTGTCCCCATCTCTAACAGCAGTGTTACTAGAGACCAGCCACCTCCACATCCTATGCAGGAGGAACTCAGGAAAATGACTTGGACTCCCTTGTGTACATGCCTGTGAACATGGGGACTGAGTGAGGCAGGACAGGCCAGGTCAGTGTCCAGACATGCGGCTCTGGCCTGTGGCCCAGTTAGCAAACATAAAGCCCAGACTGATGGCCATGAAGAGGACTCCCAGGATGCCAAAGCACAGCGCCTATGGGTAAGAGGAAGAAAAGGTGGAGTTGGCCAGGATCACCCATCAAAGCATTCCAGAGAATGCTCTTGAACCCTTCCAGGCAAAGCCCCATTCATTCCTGGCCCACCTGTATTCTCCCTGTCCCTCAAAGCAAGCATCTCTTCCATCTTTTCAGAACCTTCTGGTACTCCCTCCATCACTTTTTCAGAGAACCCTTGCCTCTCTTCCCAGTGGTGCTCCCTCCATCTATCTGAAGCATCCTTTCTCTATACTAGGCCCCTCTCCACTTTGCAATGCTGGAGACAGACCCTAGAGATTCATAAATGCTAGCAAAGCCTGCTGCAACTGAACCACAAGCTCAGCCTACCAGTCCCTTCCAGAGCATTCTCTCTCTTCCCAAATGTTGTTTGTGTTCTATCTACTCTAGCCCTTCCTAAGACAATCATCTTCTTTCTTCCTCACGATCTGTCCCTCTTTTTAGATGCTCCATTCCTTCCCACCCCCATCTTGATAATGCTCCTTTCATTTCTAGCCATCTTGGAGCAAGTGGTCCCTCTTCAGAATGTTATCTATTTCCCCCAACTCTCCTTCCTGAGATACTCACCTGGATCTTGGGCCAGGAAGATAAGGGTTCCACCTCAGAAGGAACAATGCGTAGGTAGAAGACACTGGGAAGGATGAAGATGAGGCTAGGGGCTGAGGTGGACCCTGAAGGACAGAAAGGGACAACAATCAACCTAAGTTATAAAGATAAGACCCGTATTAGATAGGGCAGGGAACTGGGGTTAATGATACTGACCAATAAACCCAAAGATATCTCGGATGGTTGGCACACAAATGACAAGGACATTGACCAAAATTAGCAGAATCAGGGCTATAGCCACATGTCGTGGCCAACTGAAGGCCTTGCTTGGGAAGAGCAGCTGCTGTAGGGCTCGGCGGATCTGCAGCCAAGGAAGGGCAGGGCAGGGGTCAGGACTCACATGCTGTCTCTCTGCATGTGACCCCCATGTCTGTCTCTACTCTGTCCAAGATCCTTGATTTCCTATCCCACCATCTATGCCTTCAGCCTGTCTGACCAGGTATCCATGCTGTTGGGATAAAGACCCCAACAAGCCACGTCTCCTTCTTCCATATGACTGTCTATCATTACTTCCACCACTACTGAAATCCTGTCTCCTCCTTTGTCCATCTCCACCTCCCCATCTGACCATTTCCTGTCCTTTCACCCTATCTGAAAGCCCTGCCTCTCTCACTACCTGACTGTCTCTACCACCATGTCCCTCCTTTGTTTGTGGTTTTTGAGACAGGATCTCACGTAGCCCAGGCTGGCCTCAAACTCAACATGTAGTTAAGAATGACCTTGAACTCCTAATCCTCCAAAGTGCTAGGATTACAGGCATGCACCACTATGTGCTGTTTAACACAGTGCGGGAGATCTCACCCAGGGCTTCATGTTATGTTAGGAAGCACTCTGCAAACTGAGCTACACCCCTGGTGCCATGTCCCTTTTTGGCTAACCATCTATTTTTGCCTTCTCTGTTCACAAAGCCCTTTCTTGTGTATCTGTTTCTGCTTCCTCCACCTTCTTTCCAAACATCCATGTTTCTTCCCTCTGCTCACCCATCCATATGCCTTCACTCCCCAGGCCCTCCCTCCCCTACTCACAGGGAAAAGCACAACCGGCACAGTAAGGGTTACGGCAAGCAGTACAGCCAGACGCACACAAAGAATGAGCATGTCCTCCTGGGTGTACATTTCCAGCATCTCTGCCTTCACCGTGCCTAGGTCATGGAGAGGGGACACAAGATGCAGGAACGCTGGACTCTCTGGCCCAGAAACCATGACACACATACATGATGGTTAAACTCTGCACACATGATGCTCAGTCTCCCTTTGGAAACTCATGGGTCCCAAGGTTCTGCAGGGACAAAGCTCAGAGGCTTCTGCCCTAGCCCAGGCTTAGTCTCTACACCCAACCATGCCCCTCCCCCCAACACACACACTCACTGTAGAAGGTAAGGTATCCAAAGGTGGCTGTGAGTCCATACATGATGAACATGGCCCCGATGGACATGTTGGCCACAGCTTGCATCCTGCGCTGGGAGGGCCTGAAGTATATAGGTCATGGAACTGTCATGTCCATACTCCTGAACTTGTCCCAGGACCCTCAAAACCTGGCCCCCACCTTCCAGGGTCTCCCTCTTGGGTCTGACAATGCTCAGCTGGTACACACTGACGTTCTGTCGTTGCCTTCCTCGTGTAACTAGTCAAGCCTCCCCTATCTGCCCATCTATATAGCCGCCCATATGACCATCTTTACCTCCTCCTCCTCCATCTGACATCTATACTGCTCCTTTGTGTGTAATCCTCCAAAAATCCCAATCCTGCCTCCCTTCTGCTCACCTGTCTCTCTCCAGCTATCTGATCATCATTGCTTTCTCGACCTCATCTTTGCAGACCCTAACCTCTTCCATCTACTTATCTTATCTCTGCCTCCCAACTTTATCCATTCACATTTGTTCTGAGCATTAAAAGAGTGGACTACTTAAATCCAATCAGCAAACAGTCACTGCTCTGAATCCCCAGGGTTTCGTAAACACTCCAAATCCCTCCCTTGTCCCAGCCAGTCACCCACAAGATACCATACCAGGGCTGCTATGGAGATTGCCAGACATTATGGCTACTGCCCCCTCTAGATGACCCATCACAATGCCCCTCCTCCCTCTATTCACCTGTGCCTCGCTACTCACCGGCACAGCTCTGTGTAGATGGGCAGCACCTCAGGGTGGCAGACAAAGGCAAAAGCCATGATAGGGACTGTGTAAGACATCTAGGGAATGGTCCATGAACACAGAATTAGAAGCCCTAGAGTATTAGGGCTCCCCTTTCTCCCCATTCCCTCCAAAGTAGGGCACATGGCACAGCCCCTGAAGCCCAGTACTCTGATAAAAATGAACTGTTGAGTCAGGACAAGCTCCTACCTGCTTGCATGCTTACCTGTGAGTCAACTGTGAACAACTTGGCCTCGCAGCTGCTGTTAAACCCCTGGACAGGAGGTTGTTCACCCTCCACAGCTGTGTGGTTGTGACTCACATCACACCCAAGCTGGAACTTCTTATAGATGACCTGGGTATCCCGAGCAAGGAAGGAAGGTCACAGAGAAGGCTTTGCCTCAGTATCTCAAACTCTACCCCTGCCCCGCTCCTGCCACTCTATGTCCTCTCTGACTTACCGAAATGAGAAAAAACAGCATGCAGGTCAGAGACAGGCTGCTTGTATACCCCAAGTAGCCTACAGGAAGTGAAAACAGATTCGGAAATCAAAGAATCCAGTACACCAAACACCAAAGCATCCTTCGAATACGTTTTCATTTCCACCTGAACCAGCCTCCCTTCATAGAAAACTCCTACTCATCTGTTAAAACCCAAATCAAACAAGCCCTTTCCACCCTCTCAGCATTCCATAACCCTTGAAAATGTCTTTTTTTTTCAGGCTGGCGACATAGCCCAGTAGGATTGCACTTGCCTAGTCTGTGTGCAGCCCTGGGTTCAGTCTCCAGGACCAAAATAAAAATAAAATAAAATGGGGTTTTTCTACTTAGTTCCCATGCCCTAACCCTACCACCTGAGACCAACCCAGGAAGCCTCCTTACCCAGGTGTTTCATGAGAGCCAGAGGCAAGATGATTAACATGCTGACCAGGACGATGAGGAGGTTTCCCTTCAAGAACCAGTCCCTGGGTAGACAAGAAGATCCCAGTACCCACATCAGATGGTTCACAAATGCCTAAATTTCACTTTCTAAATTTCAGTTCTGACTTTCACCTCTGGTCTCTGGGGCCACTGTCTGTATGTGGTGCCCATGCATGCATTCAGACAAATGGAGAAACTAAGTAAATATTTGGGGGGTTTTCAAGACAGGGTTTCTCTGTGTATGAGTACATTTTTTAACTTTTTTATTACTTTAATTTTAAATAGCTTGCTTCACATGTCAATCCCAATTCCCTCTTCCTCCCCTCCTCCCGTATCTCCCCACTATCCCCCTCCAGCCTCCCATCTTATCACCACTTCCTTCCACATAGGGGATATCCAGAGTCAGTCATTTCGCTCAGGGCAGTATTCAGGCACTCCCCTAAGAGTCCAGGCTGAGAGAGTCTTTATGTTACGGACACACGAAGTCCGTTTGTATATCAGGGATAAACACTGATCCACTGCCCAGGGCCCCATAGGTTGCCCAGGCCTCCTCATTGACTCTCACATTCAGGGGGTCTGGCTCAGTCCCAGTAAATATTTTTTAAACTTGGGGGCTGAGGAGATAACTCAGTTGGTAAAGGGCTCGCTATGCAAATGAAGACTTCGTTTGGATCCCCATCACACATCAAAATCCCTAAGGGCAGCAGTGCACATCTGTAATGCCATCGCTGTGGAGGTGGAGACAGGAGGATCCTGTAGACTCACTGACACACTGGTGCAGCCTAATTGGTGAGCTTCGGGTTCAGTGAGAGACTTTGTCTCAAAAAAATAGGGTGAAGAGAGATAGAAGAGACACCTGACTCCAATTCTGGCCTTTACACACATGTACACACAAGGGCACACACACAAGAACACAACACATATACCCCTTATTGACTGTCTTCTGTGTTCCAGACATTTACATATTCTCTTCTTATCACAGAGACACAATTGAATAGAGTAAATCTGGGTTGCATACACAGTGGGACTTCATTATAATTGGTACGGCAGGGGGATGTCTTTCACTAGTAAAGACTAGCATGTACAAAAGTCCCAGGTTTGAACCCCAACATAATGGAGAAAAAAGAAACCTTAGACATACCTAGTCATATCTGGATGATCTCAGAATCAAACCAACAATGTCATCAGATATATACAGATAATTACAACAAACTCTTAGTCAAAACTGTCAGACAGGCACATAAAACTATCCTGAAGTTTAATTGACAAAACCACATGTGCACACCAAACTCCACAGGACTAAGTGGAGTAAGAGCTAGCCCCTAAACATACAAATCTGTATGTCAAAATATACAGAGGCACTGGGCAAGTGGTGCCCACCTGTAATCCCAGCCCTTGAGAAGCCAAGGCAAATACCAGGCTAGCCTGGGCTACGGAACAAAACCGTGTCTCAAAAAGGTATGTAGAAAGCCAGACATGGTGGCGCACGCCTTTAATCCCAGCACTTAGGAGGCAGATCTCTGTGAGTTCAAGGCCAGACTGGTCTACATGGTGAGTTCCAGGACAACCAGGACTACATAGAGAGACCCTGTCTCAATACAGCAACAAAAGATACACAGAGTGAGCTGGGGGGAGGGGAGTTCAGTGACTGAGCATCTGCCTGGCATGCACAGAGAGGCCTTGAGTTCTATTCACATTAAAAAGAATACAAATAGAGGCAGAAAGATGTATGTAAATAAAGACAAGTACCACTGTGTACACAAATAAACACACCTGGAAACTCATTGTGTATGTATACAAAGTAACTGAGAGACTGTGCCAGGAGTATGACTCTGGATTCTAACAATCTGAACATATACATGGTTGCAACCACAGTCAAGAGGACTTCTACAGTTACAATCCCCTGAGTGTGTGTGTGTGTGTGTGCACACACACACACACACACACACACACACACACACAGCCTGAGAGGATCTGCCGCACAATAATCAGCAAAGCAAACAAGGAGATGGAGTTGACAGAGCGCACAGAGTTGACACGACACACAGACCACTAGAGTCAGCAATCACACGTTTAGAGCTAGATAGAGCCCAGCATCCTGATGGACCCAGAATCAGCTAAACAGGGAAAAGGAGAGTAGCCAGGTGTCAACCACATATGGTTGGGATCAATTGCAGCATACAGGACCCAGCTGTCATCCATCACATGGCTGGCCAGAGAGAATCAGCCAGTACAACAGTCACTGAGTCAAATCCAGAGTCCACATCTACTCGATCTATACAGTCACACACATATGGTCAGCATCAGCAACACACCAGGTATACAGAGACAGCTGCCAGTCAGAATCAGCCTGGAAAGGTCTCAAAATCAGCACATGGTCTGTCGTAGTCATGTGGTGAGCGATAGTCACAAGCAATATTGACTCCTAATACACAAGAATCGTAGCCAGTCTCAGTTAACCTGCAGAAGTCTCAAAACAGAGAGCCAGGTGGACACAGAGTTGCAGATGATTGCTGGAACTCGCAGGGAAAGCCCAGGTCAGCCAGGGAGCTGTTGTATACTCACCCCTCGGGATCCATGTGCAGGAAGGTGCCAATAACCAGAGGGAGCTCAGATTTGATAATGAACAGGTAACTGGACATAGCTGGTACAGATGGAGAACATTTAATCAGGATTCCCTCCTCCCCTAACCCACCCTGGGAAAAGCCTACCTCACTCCACCCTCTTCCCCCAGTTGACCCTCCCCAAGCCCTCACCGCCAACATTGTGCAGACAGATGATGACGGCCACCACTACTTTCCCAGCAGGCCCAAACGCCCTCTGTCCCAGCTGCTCATAGGCTCGGATGCCTGAGAAGGGGGAGGCAGGAAAGAAGAGTCCATGAGTTTGGGAAAGCCAGGCTAGGTGGGAGAGGTGTGATTCAGCTGTGACTGACTGACAGAGGCTGGAGTTGAAGGGTATGCAGTTCAGGGTAGAATCTGTAAGTAGAATCCAGGAGGTGGTATCTAAGGCCAGGGAGGCGCTAAAGGCTGCAGGTGAAGTGTTGGGGTTTTGGAGACAGACTATGGACTGAGAGCATGGAGGGAGAGAATCCTGGGACCATGGGTATCAGGGGTCTGAGGATTTCAGAGCTGGTTTCCAGGTTAAGAGGACCAGAAGACTGAGGGATGGGAATTAGAGGTAGAATGTAACAGTTTGCGAATGTTCTGGTGGGGAAGGTCTGATGGCCAGACTAAGGGATGGGTACTGGGACTTGGGAGGTGATGATCTAGGAGCCCAAATAAAGACTGAGGCCTGGGGTTGGATATGGAATCTGTTATACAGGGAGTTGGGTGTGGGAACTGGGGTACTGAGTTTGGGGTCTGAGGACACAGTGGTTATATCCAGAGTCAGATTTGAGTTGCAATCAGACATCAAGGAAGTAGATCTGGGTCTGGAGTTCAAGGTCTGAGTTGAGTTCTGGATTGGAATCTGGAGTATGAAGTCCGCGGAGGAGGAGATGGAAATAGCGACCCGGGATGAAGTCTCACCTACAACACTGGCACAGGTCAGCAGGAGGTGGATGGAGTAAGAGGACAAGAGGGCAATGCACAGCAGTAGGGCCCTGCAATAGGGGACATCGTTCAGACATGGCCCAGGCCTCCCATTTAGCCCTCCACACCATTGACCACCCCCCGAGAGGCCACCTATAGACTCACAGAAAGAAGATGACTCCCGTGTGTGCCATGGCATAAGCCAGCCCCAGGATGCCACTCCCCATGATGGCGTTGCTGAGGTTGAACACGGACATTCCGAATGATGTCTTCCCCTCAAACTGTTGACAAGGGGCAAATCCAGCACACATCGGGGAGAGGACAACAGAGGACAAGAGACTAGAGCTGGAGCCAGGGAAGGGCAAGAAAGTTAAGGCAACCGGGGAGGAGAGACATCCAGGAGGAGTGATGGGAAGCAAGAAGAAGCTGAAAAAGAAAGAGTTAATGGGAAGAAGCTGGAAAAAGAGCTTAGGAAAGGGAAACTAGGAGAACGTCTGGAGGGAGCAGCTGGAAACGCAAGGGGCCTGCTGAGGGGCATCTGGAGATAAGAAACAATAGAGGAGGGAGGACAGCTAGGGACAAAAGTACAAGAGAATATTTAGGGAGAACAGTCAGGAGGCAGGGGTAATAGTTGGGAAGGGAGAAACTGGGCAACCGAGAGAACTAGAGCGGGAGCACTTGGGGAAAGGGAGTATCTGGAGATGGCAGCGACTAAGGAGCCAATAGCTGGACCAGGGAGATAGCTACCAGGGGAGCAGCTAGGGAGGAGAGGAGTTGGCATTAGATAGGGGAGGTGACACCTCAAGAGGTCCTGTGGGCTCACTTACATCCATGAACTGAACAGGCTTCCTCCCAGGAGCAGTGTCATGGGCGGGCAGGAAGCCCTCACGTTCCTGCCTGTAGCTGGAAAGGGCAGGAAAACAGAGGCTCATGGAAAGGTAACCCTGACCTCTCCCCCACAAGCCTGCCTCCTTGGAGCCCCCCACTCACCCCGCAGCAGCACTGGCAGAGAGGGTTCCGTTCATCTTTGGATCCTGCATTTCCATCCTGCTGGCAAAGAAATGGAGTAGGAGGGTCAGGAGAGGAGCAAAGGGACTGGAAAGTGAGGAGAGTTAGAGGAAGGGGAGAGAGGAGACCGCCAGATGTAAACGCAGAGCAAGTGGCCAGGGAGACAAACCGGAACAGACAGGAATGAGGGGCAGAGGAGAAAATGGAGAGTTGAGAAAGGTAGGAGACAGAGAAAGACAGATGAAGATCGGGGGAGGAGAAACGAAAACAGCCTCTCAGAGAGACCCGGAGAAAAGAAGGCAGAGAGAGATAAATAGAGGGAGGGAGAGACACAGAAAGATACAGAGAGACCCACCCCACAGCACATGAAATGGCCATTTGGAGTAGGAAATATACTCTCCTCCCACAGGGCAGACTCTGTCTCTCACGCAGTCTGCCTTTTTCTGTCTCTTTCTATCCCTGATCTCCCGCCCCGACCTCCCTCCGGCTGGCTCTTAGCAGGGACACGTGTCACCTGTCTGCCCCACCCCTCCTAGCGACGCCCTGCCCCCCCCCCAGCTTAGAGACCCCAGCCCCAATGCTGCAGACTGCTTTTAATTCCAGTTCTGAATAGAATATCTTCAACAGATACTGAAGCAAATTGAAGTGCCCCTCTTCCTGGGACAGAGCTGATCGGTATGCAGTATGCGAGTGTGACTAGATGGTGGAGCGCTTTCAGTCGTCAGGACTACAAAGAAAGAAAAAACAAAAAAACAAAACACTGACTCAGGGACTCCCACTGAACTTCCCTCCTAGGTTCTAGAGTCCAGGATCCCCTAGCAGTTCTTAAACTCTCCTTTCCTGGGAGAAATAGTTTAGGAGACACTTCTAAACTTGAAAAACTTTCTGGGCTTGAGGTACCTCAGAAACCAGTAAGACTTTGAACATTTCCCCTCCGATAATGAGCTGCCAGCAAGGTCCTAGTCCCCCTCCAAGGTCCTCATGTGTTTCTCAGGGTGAGAGTATCTTTGCAATCCCCATCCAAACCTGGAAACTCTTTTTTTAAATTAGTATTTATAAATTGTACAAAATAGGGGCTTTCGTTAAGACATTTCATTTACATATGAAATACGCTTTGATCGTCTTCATTCCTCTATTACCATATCCTGCTCTGCTCCCCACTGTTTTCCTTCCTCTACCTCCAAGCCCTCCTTCTGCTTTCATGTATTATCTCCACTGTTTTCCTTTTTGCTTTATTATTGTTACATGTATAACTACAACCTGCTGAGTCTCGTTAGTGTTGCTTGAATGTATATGATTTTAGGACTGACCGCTGGTATTGCATAACCGGGTGGGGAGCTCATCCCTGAGGATGGCTGGCTCTCCCTCTTTCTGCAGTCATTAATTGCCTATTGCCATTATGACCGCATTTACAAGTGGGGCCTTTTGGGATTTTCCCCATCTATAGGAACTGCTATCATTGTATAGGCAACCATACTGTTGAGATTGTATGGTTGTAGCTTCCTTGTCCTATTTAGTCTCTCAGCTAACACCCTGAACCTCTTGTTCTTCCAACCTTTCTGACCTGTCTTCTATGATGTTCTCCAGGTCTTAGATATAGAGGTTGTGTTGTGTGTGTGTCAATAGGAAATGGGCACACCTCAGTCAGTTACTTGTTCTCTGCATTTTGACAAGTTATGGCTTGCAATAATGTTCTCCCTCTGCAGCAAAAAAAAAATGGCTTCTTTGACAAAGGATGGGAGTTACACTTACCTGTGGTTATAAGGATAAGTATTTAGAATGCAAATGTAAATTAGACTGGTATCAGAAATGGACAGTAGTACATTCTCCTCTAGGTTCCATGACCTTACTAGCCATGGATAAGTTGGCTAGGTTTGCAGTGTCAAGCTGGAATTCTGTCCTGTTGATCAGGCCTTAAGTCCAACTAGAGAGTTTTTGATTACCCCCAAAATGGAAGTGCCCCTTTAGATATGTTTTGCTGTGCTGGTCATTGTGTTTCACAGTCATCACAGATGGGTGGACTACTCATTGTTTCCCTCCCAGGACAGCTTGCAGAGCTCCTGCCAGTACTCTAAGAGCTACTCCTCAGTGAGGACGCTTACAGGTCAGTTCTGGTTCAATTCCTCAAATCCTGTGTCCAAAGTGTGTGGTGTCTTCAGCAGTAGAGATTTATCTTCAAATTCTGGGAGGCAGCCAAGGACAGTGGCCATAAGTCTATATTGTTTTAGCAGTCTCTTGGACTCCCCTGAGCAATAACTTGTAAGGAGGCTTCTCATGTCTGGAACTGAGGAATTTGTTAGATAGACTGGCTCTTATAAGGAGCATTATCACCCCTAATGGTGTGACTTCATTTAAGTGTGTGTGTGTGTGTGTGTGTGTGTGTGATATCAATCAAATGTAATTTTTTTGTTTTTCAAAACAGAGTTTCACCTGCCTCTGCCTTCCTATGCTGGGATTAAAGGTATGTGTCACCACTGTTCAGCTTATCACATGTAATTTTAGGTAACTAAAGAATAGTAATTAATTCCCTATAGCTTTTTCAAGCATATTTGGTATCATTTATCCCTCCTCGCTCTCCCTTTGTATTGCCCTCCTCCACAGTTAAAGACATCACCTTTTCTCAATCCTCCCTTCATAGTGGTGACCTGCTATTTCCCTCTCTAAAGCTCTTTCTCTCAGCCCCCCCATCCACTCTCCTCATCCATTTTTTTCTTTCTTGGTTTCTTTGGTTATAATGGGTTATATACTCATATCCAAAGATTCAGAACTAGGAACCACAAATAAGATCTAGCAAGTGAAGTTTGTCTTTTTGAATCTGGGTTACCTCACTTGGAATAATTTTATTTGTTTGTTTGTTTGCTTGCTTGCTTTGGTTTTTTCGAGACAGGGTTTCTCTGTGGCTTTGGAAGCTGTCCTGGAACTAGCTCTTGTAGACCAGGCTGGTCTTGAACTCACAGAGATCTGCCTGCCTTTGCCTCCTCAGTGCTGGGATTTAAGGTGTGTGCCACGACTGCTCAGCCTGATAATATTTTATATTACCATCCATTTACCTGCAAACTTCATGATTTCACTTTTCTTCGCAGCTAAAAAGTATTCCATAATGTATATGTATCCATTTTCATTAATCCACTCATTAGTTGAAGGACATTTAGGTTGTTTCTATTTCTATCTGGAAATAAAATTGCAATGAATAGTGAATAGAGTTGCAATGAGAAGTAAGTTGAGTGAAAAAGCCCACAGAATGGGTGAGAATCTTTGCCAACTATACAAGAGTACACAAGCCAAGAGGTGGTAGCACTCATCTTTAATTCCAGCACTCTGTGAGTTCAAGGCCAGCCTGGTCTACAGAGTGAGTTCCAGGACAGCCAGGACTATTACATAGAGAAACCCTGTCTCAAAAAAAAGAGTACATGAATACCTGAGTAAGGTAGGCATGACTAAGATACCGAGTCCTTTGCATGTGCCAAGGAGTGGTATAGTTGGATCACATAACAGATTTCTTTTTAGCTCTTTGAGAATTCAAAGATTCTGTTTTCCACCAATCCCACCAACACTGAATAAGAGACGTTAACTCTCGCTCTCTCTCTCTCTCCTTCTTCTTTCTTTTACTCTCTTTTTGTTTTTTTTTTCAAGACAGGGTTTCTCTGTGTAGCTTTGGAGGCTGTCCTGGAACTCCCTCTGTAGACCAGGCTGGCCTCGAACTCACAGAGATCCACCTGCCTCTGCCTCCCAAGTGCCACCATGACTAGCTTCATAGCCCATTTTTTAATTGGGTCACTTATTTTTCTTGACTATCTGTTTTTTGAGTTCTCCATATATTCTGGTGTTTTTTTGGTTTGGTTTGCTTTGCTTTGGTTTGGTTTTTTACAAGACAGGGTTTCTTGGCCGGGCAGTGGTAGTGCATGCCTTTAATCCCAGCACTCGGGAGGCAGGGAAAAAAGACAGGGTTTCTCTGTGTAGCTTTGGAGTCTGTCCTGGAACTCTCTCTGTAGACCAGCCTGGTCTTGAACTCACAGAAATTCACCTGTCTCCCCAGTGCTGGGATTAAAGGCATACGCCGCCACCACCTGGCCTCTCTCTATATTCTGGATATCAATCATTTATCAGTTGTACAGCTGGCAAAGATCTTTTCCCATTCTTTTTAGTTTTATGAGATCCCACTTATCAATTGTTAGCAAATGGAGTCCTATTCAGAGCGTTCTCTCTTATACCTACATCATGTAACATACTGCCCGTTTTCTTCTGGTAGTTCCAGTGTTTCAGGTTACATATTTAGGTCTTTGCTCCATTGGGAGTTAATTTTTCTTCTGAGTGATAGATATGGATCTAATTTCGTTCTTCTACATGAGGGCATCCAGTTTTGCAAGCACCGTTTGTTGATGTTGTCTTTTCTCCAATGTGATATTTTGGCATCTTTGTCAAATATCAAATGACTGTAGTTAATGTGCACTCATGGTTGGGTGTTCTATTTTGTTCCTTTGGTCTCTGTGGTTTTGTGCCAATACCAAGCTGTTTTATTACTATATGTTTTAATATTCTTTGCCATGACCAAAAGCAACTTGAGGAGGAAAGGGCTTATTTCATATTAATTAGAACTCTCAGGTCACAGTCCATCATGAAGAGAAGTCAAGGCAGGGACTCAAGACAGAAATCTGGAGGGAGGAACTGAAGCAGAAGCCATAGAGAAATTCTGCTTACTGGTTTGCTCCTCATGGCTTGTTCAGCTTGTTTCTTTGTACAGTCCAAAGCCCCCTGCTCTGTGATGGCACCACTCACAGTAAGATGGGGCCTCCCACATCAATCATTAAATGAGAAGATACCCTCATAGTTTTGCCTATCAGCCAGTCTTATGCAGGTACTTTCTCAATTGAGGTTCCCTCTTTCTAAATGACTCTAGATTGTGTCAAGCTGACAAAAATTAAATAACCAACACTCTACAGTGCCATGACATAATTTGAGAATTGAGAAGGTAATCCTTCAAGCTCTGCTTGTTCAGAAATGCTTTGACTATCTAGTGTCTTTGTGTTTCCATAAGAATTTTAGTATTTTTTTTCTGTTTCTATGAAGAATGTTGTGGGGATTTTTATTGGGGTTGCTGTGAAACTGTAAGTTGCTTTTGGTAAAATGGTCATTTTCACAATGGTAATTCTAAGGCTGGGTGTTGGTGACACACATCTTTTATCCCAGCACTCTTGAGGCAGAGGCAGGCGGGTCTCTGAGTTCAAGACCAGCCTGAACTACAGAGCTAGTTCCAGGACAGCCACAGAGAAACACTGTCTCAAAAAAACAAAAATGGAGAGGGGCCTGGAGAGATGGCTCAGTGGTTAAGAACACTGACTGCTCTTCCAGAGGACCCCGGTTCAATTCCTAGCACCAACATGGCAGCTCACAACTGTCTACTGTCTGTAACTCCAGTTCTGTGGAACCTGACACCCATGGCAAAACACCAATGTCTACAAAATAAAAATA